GTGTTTGAACTATTTCTGCATAGACTAAAGTAGAAAGCAGTAAAAATCATTAATAGGCGAACGATTGTTTGATGGGCTGAATTGCACAAAACGCATGATCGCACCGGCTAGTCTGGTGCGCGTTGCTATTTATCTTAAATTAGCATTAATCTGCTGTTAAAAATTTAATTGCATGCACATCCTTTATGTAACGAGTAAGAGCCTATACTGATGGTCACTGCTCCTGTCCACACGTGTAACTCGGTCTGTATTTACGATTAAGGATGAATCACGGACTGCACTAAGATCTGTCCGACAGGACATGCGTTACTCAGACTCCCACTTCATTCCGCACCGGTTCTGACGTCTGTGCTTACAGTTTAGGGATGAAGCACAGATAGGACAATGGCTAAAGCACATACAGGCGCGCTTATCGGGGTATCTAAATTTGCACTCTCTGCTTTCCCACAAAAGACAATATTCGACTGTGTCCGTTTTATCGGCGGACCTTTAGTGCCAAACAAACTTTCATAGTTTACATTTTTTTTGAAAAAACTTCCAAAACAATTAGTTAGAAATGGAATATTAAGATGTCGAAATTTCAAAATTTTGCCAATTTTAATGCCTTTTGCTCAGGCTCTTGATTTATTAAAGCAAACCTTTTTCCAGCCCTAACACTATCAATGTTCACAAGGCTGTGTTTCCCCTACTACGAGGCACTTGTAATAGGCCGTTTCTTGTGGGGTACCGCAAACGGTATCGCGATCGTGGTACAAACTGTCTGGATTATCGAGAGTGCACCGACATCGCAGCGAGGCAAGGTCAATTCATGGCAAGAAGTAATTGCTACTGCTGGTTCGTTTATTTCAGTTTTACTAGGGACTTTTGAAATTTTTTTGCTTAATGTTTTTTGGTAAATACGTTGCTACAGTTCCAGCATAGGCTTGTTTTACCTTCGTCAGGTCTAGGATAAAGTAAATATTTGACTTATCGCCGTTTTGAAATTTGACATCCAACTTATCAAATTTTGATATCTCAAAGCGGATGAAGATAAAATAGGAATAACGGGACTAGTTCAGTTGGCAAGATGAATCCGGTGTCTGGCTACACTTGATTAATTAGCTCTTATTTTTTTTCCAGTTTCATGAACTTACCGAACTTGCTGCTTTCTCGCAATCTACGCTTAATTCGCCTTAATTGTTTTAATAAATCTATTTTCACCGTTTAACTGATTTAGGTAATTTGTTAACACAAGCAGTTGGAGTACCATTGTCAACACCCGCATTATGGCCTTTTATGTTTGCCGTACCGCTCAGTGTCACTGTTGCTTGTTTGATAATATTTATCCTGATGTACGAATCTCCACAGTATATGCTCAAATTTACACATAATCGAGTAGACGTATGTTATTTTGCTATCGTTTTAAGAATAAAATTTGGTCTGCTAGCAGCTGCACCTATCCTGAAACATGAAATTTCCTTTCCACTGTATCAGAAGGCTAAAGTTATCATTCAGCCTACTTGTGAACAGTCTCAAATGAGGAAGTCACTGAAGCCTTGCCGTAGGCAGTTGCTACCACTTGGGTTACTTCTGAGTGCCTTCCCTCCCATAAACGTTGAATAGGCAGCAAAATATAATTCTACGGTATATTTTGCAAAGATGTGCGTTTGAATTGAGGGCAGTGGCGATGTGGATTAGTAGTTTCATCGCATATCTCTCTACATTTCGTAAGCCAGCAGTATGTTATGTTGCGCATTTTTCTAACGAAACACTGAGAGAGCGAAGCACTTACAACTGCTGCTAATCGAAAATCTTGCGGAAGTGAAGGATAGCTTGGGAGTGAATGTTTTACGTTGATCTTGATTGGTATATGGCTGTATCCAAACATAACGAAGCCTTAGAGCTGACAGACACCGAAATCCTGGCAGGGTTCTAAATTCAGATTGTGAAAAGCGTTGCAATTTTCCCAGAATTTTCACTAATAATCTTGGATTGCTCATTTTATTGCGTTCAGGTAGGGATTTCTCAGCTTCTGTGCTTCAGAAGTAATGGGAAAGCTTATGCTCTGGCTTCTACGCTGCTTGGTTGAGCGACTAACTGCCGTGGTTCTGTTGGTCGGTAACTTCAATTACTTGCACCAAATGACAGAATTTGGGTTGAGTTATGCATGGTTTTTGAAAAGTCTGCCACTGTAGGAGTAGTTTTCAAAAGCTTTTAGGCTGCACGAGCAATCCGAGCGTACCATGGCTTGAAAGATGACATCGAAATTGATAAACAAGTGACTAAATGTGAAGAGGACGGACAGAAGGAGGAGCGTAAGAAAAGTATCCAGCATTCCAAGGAACCGAACGGCATGGAAGTTATGTTCATGCCATGGCGAGCCAACGATCCACTATCGGTCGTTGTAAGGTACGGAGCTTGGGTCGGTATCATGGTCAAGGTAATCCAATTCCTTTATTTAAGGATTAAAATGCCAAATATTTTTGACACATTAAAAGTAGTTCACTTTAGTGAAATATGGACCTACAGTTGGTCATTTTATCAGAAAGCGACCAAAATAGCACGAGTAAAAAGTAATATATAAGACTATTCAAAAATATCGAGAGGCCTGGCGTTCATGTGTCCGGCATGTGGAAGCATCTCTTTAGCATCACTGACATGGAATACCAACAGCGCGGCCACTCTTGGTATTATTCGTAATTAAATAGCACTGCGCGTCAGGGGACCCAAGGGAACCAGCTCTTTTTTTATACACCGCATAAACGTTGCAAATGCAACTTCAGATTTTGCAAGCAAAGAGGTCTGGTTCTCGATTACTTGCGGCTCCGGGTCAGACAAAGCTGCAGTACATTTCAAAGCAGTGGCTCGGGACCAAAGCATAAACTCCTGAAATTTTACCCTTCCGGCTTGTAACATTTCAGAGCAACCCATTAGGCTTACCGGTGAGATCGTCAGTTTTTGCACCAAGTTTAAAACAGCCCAACTCTTAATACTTATGAAAATGGTTACTGTTTTACAGTTTAACAAGTAAACTAATGTCAACTCTGTTTCGGCCTTGAAAGCAGCGTCGGTTCAGGCGGTGTTAATGTACCATGGGGCTGCATGAAATCTTAAACTCCAGGCCTGTCTGATCGCCGTAAATTTTGCTTGAAGAAGAATGAATAATTTCCGATGACCGTCCTTCACTGAAAATTGTAACTTGAACCGTGAGCAGGTTGTCAAGAGAGAATTATGACGAAATTCGCAAAAAGGCACTTTCTTCCGAGACTGTTGGAGGGAATTTGGTTTCAAGCTTCATTTTGATCACACGTTAATAACCTTTCAAAATTTCAGCTTCGCAGCTTGTTCGGTAGCCGAAATAGCTACTTCTTTGTAAATATTTTTGACATGCCCTTATGTACGGTTCAAGCGCATTTCGAAACTCCATTTGGCTAGATTACTTCCCAAATGAACGATAAGTATTCCGGCAAAATTGCAATTACTATTTTCCCGTCAGTTCTCAATTTGGCGCGTTACCATTTGCAGACTTGGGCATGACTGTAGCGCATGATGCAAGCGCGCGATAATTGAACTTGAAATCTTTAGCTTACAAATGGACGGAGAATCCCTGCAATATTCTAGTTCCTCTACCGGCTCCGGGATCGTCTCTAGCCAAAAAATTTGCGCATTTTTTAGGCGTCTATACGTGGGGTCTAGGCTTGCATAAGCGTTGATTTTAAAACGGGGATGGACATGGGTTAGAAACATGTTCTTACAATCAGGGACATGTTCTTACAATTTTAGCCTCCCAGCTTTCCTCGGTTGCTGAGTAGGAAGTGGATGAAAAATTTGTTCATCTCCGAACACACATGAACAATCTCTTCTACATGCCTTTCCACATTTAAATAAATGAAAAAAAAAAA